CTGGCTGGGTAATTAAAATGTGTAAACGGAGATCAATTAGTACACATTTCCTACTGTGCTGAGTTCCCACTCTGTAATCTTCACTCCTCAATTAGTTATCCTTTCCTAATTAAACATAGCTACAAGATGCAGAATCCTCCCTAACATATCACTTAATAAACATTTTAATCCTTATGATTAAAAAGATATTAATATCACAAAAGTGAAAGCATGGACTCAAAAGAACCCCAGAAGCTACAAATAATCAAGACAGATGATGCATTACCACACTTCTGCCTCATCTGCCTCCACTAACAAGTACTGTTTCAAACAAATCACCAGCTTCCCAGTGCTGCTAATGCCTGAACATCATTGCCTTTTTATGTAGTTTATAGCAGAAGTCTGTTACACTGTGCCTACACAACAAATTTCAGTTGCATGTGGGTGATGTACCAAAGAAAATACTTACAAAGGATAAGCATACCTCAGCTTCACAGCTATCAATCTGATTAAGTCTCTCTAGTCATCTTTTTTAAATCAAACATATGTCACGTCATGTTTTCATTAGCAAGGGATTTTATGTGCCGTCACATTACTCTTTTGCCAAATTTGTTTACTCTTCTCTGAAGGTTTCTACAAAGCAGGGTAGTATCAATCAATGTAATGTAACGTAACCCTGGAACACAATGTGTTAAATAATTATCATCATGCACATTCCATGATGAAACTGATGTGAAAACATTAATAAATATTCAGTGTAAGAGCCAGTTAAAGAAAGCCTCTGGAATTCCAGGCTCACATGCTTAATCCTATAACCTAGATTACGTCTCTGTTTGTTTATACAAGCTTACCATGCAAACAATTTTATTTGCTATTTGTAACTGTAATATAAACCTACTTCAGAGCTCTAGAACTTCATTTCAAAATCAACAGTTCATATTAAAAGAAAAGAACCTCAATATCTCTAAGCAGACCAGCTAGCCGATGTTTGTAAGATTACAGAATATTTCGGGTACGTTTATGAAAATGCACTATCCTTCCCTTTCCTTTGCTCTGCCCTGAGTGCATTTGGTATGCCACGTTTTACTTTCTTATTTTATAGCTTCTGCATTCACATACTCCTGTCACACTCCAAACTCTTCCTTAAAACCTTATTCTTATTGACATGTTCAAGGAATTTCAGCCTGCAGATTCTGCTCTGCACTTACTGTGCCCAAAGAATTTGTATTTAAAGATGAGCTGGAAGAATGCCTTTACTAAAAAGAAACACTCTGCCAAGAATATCGGATCTTGTGTTCCTCTACTAAACAATCTACAGTGCCTGAATTTCATTTGGATAAGGGATCCAAAAGTGCTGCTCATAGTAATACATTAAGACAGCAAAGTGCTGTTAAGACTGAACCAACTATTCATGCCATCCTAATCCATGGATTTCTACACAAATGGTCTTGAATACTTTTAGAGTTTCACCTTTCCATTAGTGGACACATGATTTTTTTTTTTGTTGTCATCAGTAATACAAGGCTAACAAAACACTGAATTTTCTTGTGTCAGTACAAACTCAGATGACACAGAGGTGGGATCCTGGTTTTGTGTCCATGTTCACACGCCATTCTGATGAGGCTGTAAATGCCAGGCCATGTTCACGAGCAGGAACTGGCTTGCCTCCACACCTAAGTCATCTTTTCATGCTGAGGTCTAAAACTGAGGCCCAGTGCAGGTAGTTTCATTTGCCTGCTTCTACAAGGACAAAAATAAGGGCAGGTCCCACCCACATAAGCAGGATGGAGTCCTCCCACATGCTGTCCAACCAGACCATGTTGCCAAAGTCTCCAAAATAAGAAAACATATCAGGAATTTGAATTTATTACTCACAATGCAAGTTCTTCATGAGAATGGGATTCCTTCTAATACTGGTAAATACAGCACTTCTGACAGAACTACACCAAAGCAAAGAATTTGAAACGGAACAACTAGGACACAGAAACAAGAAAAGTTAATGCTATTTATGATGCCTTGTATTTCACTGCGGGGGGACAATGGGAAACCTGAGTGATGCATCCTAAGAGTCATTATTCAGGATGTAATGAACACAGATGCAATGCACACTAATCCCAGCAGACAAGCTTTGAGAAAGGAAACTTAAGCCAAAGTGGGTCCTACAGAGATGACACTCTGTTCTTGCTGCAGAGCTCTCTCCAAATGTGACCAGACCACAGCTTTCAAACTATCTCTGGATACATAGGAATTAAGCATGACGGACAGGAAGAAGTGTCTGTGGACTGTTATTCAGGAAGAAAGTAATTTTGATTCAGTAAAGTGAGGTTATAAGGACATGCAGCTCTCTACAGCCTACCAGACTTAGTCCCTCAGGAGGCCCCAGAGAACAAGACAAATGAGAATAAACAAATACCTGCTTCAAAGAGGTAACAACTCAAATATAAAAAGAGTTAAGAATACAAAAAGTACAATAGATGAATACAGATGGGGCAGGCAGGGTAATGGCAAGAAGCAGTGAGGAGCAGTTTTCACGTATCAGTATGTCAATCATGGTCAAGTTTTTGTAGGCGTGACAAAAACAGCATTCTAGAGAGGGTTTCAGAGGAAGAAAATGCGTTAGCATTACAGATGTTCATGTCCAGGACATGCAGCTTATGTCTGAGATGACATGGGTGAAGGAGTCAAATGTAGGTTGATTCCCTGTCAAATGAGAGGCTACAAAACCCTTTAGCAGCAGTATTCTGAAAGGATACAAAACAGGCCAGATTACAGTTGCCAAAGCCAAGGAAATGATGTTGCAGTAACTGAGATGCAAAATTGGTGACAGCTTTGATGAAAGCTCAGCAGTACGTACAGACAAGAAAAGCTGTCATGCAGACAGAATTAGCAGGATTTTGAAAGGGAGAGGAAGAACTGCGAGCCGAAGGGAACACCCAGATTATTCATTCAAATGAGAAAGCAGCACAGCAGCTGGAAGGGGGCATCACGGGAGCCCTTGGGCAGACTAAGATTTCCAAGTTAGCAATGTTTCATTTAAGGCAAAACAGAGATGAGGGGATGTCAGAGAGGTATTAAGATTATAGGCTGTACAAAAGCTGATGGATGTTGAGTGCAGATGCAGATCTACAACACTTTTTACTTGATTTTAGTAACTGCATGCAATATTTAGCTTTGGCTAGACAACCACTTAACCATTCCAGAAAGGCTGGGCTTTACGTTGTGATCCAATGACTGAAGCCGTTAATATTTTTGTTCTCTTAGAGCTACATCACGTGCCACAGATTACTCAAGCAGATTTCCACAGCTCATTAAACATTTCCCACTAGTTAACTCTCAACTTAGACTAGTGGTTGTACCTCAGTGTGTTTCTAATAACAAAGTTTCTACCACTGCCTTTTCACACTTTTCTCTCCTCGATGCCCCGATTACTCTTACACAACAAGCTCTCATTTTCATGATGCTTGGATGTTCCAATAGCTAGCAACAAGGGCTGCAACTTCTGATCCATCTGTACATTCTGGTTTGAGGAACATGTTGGATCCAGCAATAGGAATCTGAAAGACTGAATGGCAATGCAGAACTGAGTTTTCTGCACTTCTTTCTTCATCCCCATTACTTAAAAAAAAAAAAAAAAAAAAAAAAAAAAAAAATGGGGGGTTA